TGTGTGTGTGTGTGTGGATGAGGTCTTAAAATCAGAATCAGAATACCTTTATTAGTCCCACAGAGGGGAAATTTGCAGCGTTACAGCAGGAAAGAGCCACAGACTGAGCTTAGGGTTGCATATCTGAAATGCGCTAAAAAAGTACTAAGTTATAATATAATAAACAAACAACACAACAATATGTATGTAATGTATGTATATGTAAAATGTATGGAAAGGCCAAGGTATTACCTTTGACTTCAGGATTCCTGCATATACCCTGTGTTAAATAAATGCAATGGTTCTCTATGCTATGCCCCTCAGAGTCCTGATGGGAAATATCTGGCCAGCGGAGCCATCGATGGGATCATCAACATCTTTGACATCGCCACTGGAAAGCTGCTCCATACGCTGGAAGGTCAAATACAAATCTGAATATTAATAAGTTGCATGAATCATTTGCTGCAACTGGCGACAAAACTAGTCTGATTATCGATTATTTGATTGATAATTTAAGCATTTGTTTATTAAATGTCAGAAAATAATGAAAAAGGTACATCTTTTTCACTACAAAAAATGAGGTCACATTTACAAAAAAAATAGGTGGTAAATTCTCACCTTTTGAAAATTGTGAAATTTATCATTTTCAGGCTTCTGCAAGATAATTTACATAAATGAATTCAACTTAAATGATCAATATACAATCATTAGTTGATAATTGTTTTTTTATCGGTTAGAAAAAAGATTAGAAATAAATATACAAGGCCAAAAATAAACTATATATATTTATAATAATAATATACATTAAGGGTGCCCAATGTGTTGATAGCGATAGACCGGTAGATCGCCATGGCAGTGCCGGTAGATCGCAGTAATTTCAAATATCTCCGGTCATATTATCCGGTAATTTCTTGTTGCCATAAGCACCATTTTAAGTCTATTCAAAATAAGCAGAATAGAGGAGTTGACACCAGCCCCTCTCATCGATGCTTCAAGCGTGCAACGAGACGCCTACAGCGCGCAGAGTGCCTCCTGAGAAGACGTCAGTGAGGAATATAACTTCCTGTTTCTCTCTTCAGGTCACGCCATGCCCATCAGATCCCTCACCTTCTCCCCCGACTCCCAGCTGCTGGTCACCGCCTCCGACGACGGATACATCAAGATATACGACGTGTGAGTTCAGTTGGCCTGTAGATAATGTACAACCCAAATATGGTCATCATACCCAGTATTTATATTGTATACACACAAATAAAGGGAGGGAAAGGGTGTCCTCAGTTGTTACAAATTAAAAGAATATAAATAAACACTAGGAGGGGAAAAAAGAAAGTAAAAAATGTTTGCTTTAATAAACTTTGAGCTTTTGTTTTACAGGCAACATGCGAACCTGGCCGGCACGCTGAGTGGACACGGCTCCTGGGTTCTTAACGTCGCCTTCTCTCCAGACAGCAAACACTTTGTCTCCAGGTAAAATCAAAACAACCTCATGTTCCGACCAAAAAGAGGTGAAATTGATGCATAAAAGCACTTTGATTTAACATAACATTTAAAAAAGTTTTATATTTTACTTACCGATACATTTAATTAAAAAAAACATTTGTCTTTTTGGTCTTGGTGCTCATTAAAACATGTGGTTGTTATGTCTTTGTTAAAGTTCTGAGAAGGGAGGACTTTACTTTCATCAGTCTTGTGGCTTCATAACTTAAAGAGGACCTATCATGCAAAATGCACTTATTTTTGATGTATTTTATACATAAAGATGTGTCCCTGGCGTGTCAGGGAACTCACGCAGCGTAAGAAAATAAAACCCTGTCTCTTTTAATCCGTACCCAAATCTCTAAAAACGGGGCTACAACGGAGCTGATCCAGATTTGGGTCCGATATCACGTAATATCTGAAATGTAGGCTGGCTTTACACCCATGGCCCTATCAGAAACAATGCCCGACTGTTTTGGACGTAATATGGTCGGTGTTTACATTAGCATCGCTAACACTCAGAGCTAACCTGCACTGGAGAGCATGTGTGTGAAGAAGCAGGAAATAAAAAGGAACTCACCTTGTGGTATAACCGGCAAGAGAGAAAGCGTTTGAGCTCCATACTGTTTCAGAAATAATCCTTGATAATCCATGATATGGCGTTTCATCACCGCAGAATCTGCCGGTAGCATCTCCCGCATGAGCTCGGCCCCCTCCTTTCTTTTTCAGCACTTTTGAAACAGGAAGTGAAATAGAGGGATATGAGGCATGGCTAGAATGGGTGATCTGTTTGGTATTTTGAGCAAAACACTTCATAGACATGTTTTTTATATATTTGTATATATCTGAGACCTATGCTATTGCCTAAAAATAGCATGATAGGTGCACTTAAAGTACACATCTCATAATAGGGGATCTAAAAAAATATTTGGATTAATAAAACTACGTATAGGCTATTTGGAACGTTGCTAGCTCACAATAAATAAATAAAAACTTGTTATAAAGACAAGAGTCATCGTAGTATTAGAAGAAATGTTAAAATATTCCTCTAATCAATCAATGAATGCTCATTCATTTTCAGTTATTCAATTAATCAATGAATGGATTCAATATTTCAGCTCTCATAAATGTGTACTTTTACAGGACTTTTTACCGTGCACAATTCAATGCAAGTTCCCATAAATGATTTGTAACATCTTATGACAAAGTGAGTTCATTCCAATAACAACAGGGTTCATATTGAAAGTGTTCTGTGTAGAGAGACTGCGTTTACTTGGAAAACATCCCTCAACTCAATATGTAAACATCCTCATCTGCTCCTCAACAGGCAATCAATCAGATCCTATTTTAAGTACACACTTGACAATAGAGGATCTAAAAAAGGATTTTGAGGAATAGAGCTGTGTATAGGCTAAGGGGAAACTGGCCAGCTCACAATTAAAAACGAAAACAACAGCAACAACAACAACAACAACAACTAAAAGCATGGTAATCAGAGCATGAAGGGGGATGCAGTACATTTGTTAATCAATACAATACACAAACTTTGCTATCAGAAACAATGCCCGACTGTTTTGGACGTAATATGGTCGGTGTTTACATTAGCATCGCTAACACTCAGAGCTAACCTGTACTGGAGAGCATCTGTGTGAGGAAGCAGGAACTAAAAAGGAACTCACCTTGTGGTATAACCGGCAAGAGAGAAAGCCTTTGAGCTCCATACTGTTTCAGAAATAATCCACGATAATCCATGATATGTTTCATCACGGCAGCATTTAGTTTAGACAGTAGCTGCCGGGTCCCGCATGAGCTCAGACCCCTCCTTTTTTTTTTTTTTTATCACATTTTTATTTTTTAAAGCTTTATACCCAAAATCAGCACTTTCGAAATGAGGCGTGAAATAGAGGGATATGAGGCATGGCTAGAATGGGTGATCTGTTTGGTATTTTGAGCAAAACACTTCATAGACATGTTTTTTATGTTTTTTTATATATCTGAGACCTATGCTATTAGGTCTCAGATATATGCTATATGCTATGCTATTGCCTAAAAATAGAGTGATAGGTGCACTTTAAAATATTCTAAACAAATAAACAATTGTTGCCCATTCATTTTCCGTCAATCAATTAATCAATTAATCAATTGGATTCACCATTTCAGCTATAGTAGGTTTTTCTTATTTGAAAAATACTTTTACATGACTTAATACATGAGTTAATATTGAAAGCGTGAAAGGAAATCTGTGATGTTGTTTACTTGGAAAACATCCCCTCAACTAAATATGTAAACATTCTCATTTACTATTCCTAAACAGGCAATCTATCAGATCCTATTTTAAGCAGCACATCTCACAAAAGGGGGGCTAAAAAAAAAAAGATTAACATTAATAATCATATTTAATGTGGAACTGGTCAGCTCACATTTAACATTGAAGTAACAAAAAACAGCAACAGCAACAAAAAGCATAATTGTAGAATAAAAAAATTCTAAACTGTTGATTATATAACATAATTTGTGCTTATCCTTTTCTGTCAATCAATTAATGCATTTACCATTTCCGTTCTATTAAGTTTGTCTTGTTTGAGAAATACTTTTACATGACTTAGGGCTTGATATTAAAAACGTTTCGTGACAATAAACCATATTTACTGGATAATATCCCCTTAGCTGAACTAAACATGTAAACCTCCTCATTTACTTTTCCTAAACAAGCAACCAGTCAGATCCAATTTCAAGCAGCACATCTCACAATTGGTGGAACTAACAAAAGGATTTAGATCAATAACAACAACAACAGCAACAACAACGTCTTTATAAGCTGTGTTGAAACTGGCCCACTCACAATTAAAAGTGTAGTGACGACATTAACAACCACTAAAAGCGTGGTAATTGTTGCATGAGGTGTTTTTTTTTTCAAGATCCGAAAGGGATGCCGTGAATTTATTTGGCCTGGCAAAGGTCCATAGTTTAAAGTGGAGGCAGTGTTTGTGTGTGTGTGTGTGTGTGTGTGTGTGTGTGTGTGTGTGTGTGTGTGTGTGTGTGTGTGTGTGTGTGTGTGTGTGTGTGTGTGTGTGTGTGTGTGGTGTGTGTGTGTGTGTGAGAGAGAGAGAGAGTGAGTGTGTGTGTGTGTGTGTGTGT